CTCTCTCTCTCTCTCTCTCTCTCTCTCTCTCTCTCTCTCTCTCTGTGTGTGTGTGTGTGTGTGTGTGTGTGTGTGTGTGTGTCACAGTGTGTGTGTGCCAGTGTGTGGAACCGTGGGAGCCGATCACAGGAACAAACAGGGCAACGCATAGACCCCTCTGTTAACCCCCTTAATATACAGTTCATTAACCACCTCCCTTGCGCATCTCTCTTCGTATTGGCCATTGCAAGGTCCACCACTGTCTTGAGTGCTGCAGTTATGCCCGGAAGGAACAACACGGCAAGACATAGACCCCTTGTCTGCTATCCGGCTTCTCTCTTCTTCGTAGTACCCAAGTTCCGCCTCAGCTGTCTAACTTGAAGTAGCAAGTGCTGTAATCATGGCGGGCTAGAACCGCAATACTGTAATCATGGACTCCGAGGCCTATCACGGTATAATACTACCGGGCCAAAAACGGTGAGATCGTTAACCAACCATGCATAGACCGATTTGGCCCGTCAGCTTAAGCGGCCCGACATACAACCCACATAGACTGTTACGGCCCCTCCTCATGCGACAGCCACCATGCCACGCAGCTAAAGAGGCCCGACATAGACCCCCCATAGACCCCTCCAACGTTGACCACCACCTTTCTTCATATTGCCCGACTTCCGCTGCGTACTAACTTCTAAGTCCACTTATCATGGCCAGCTGACCGCGGTTCGAGCTCACGAGAGGACGAACAAGAGGCGTCCATTCTTTCTTCAAGTTTCTTGTGACTCCAAGTTTGAAGTTCCGCTGCTGCTTCAACAGTCTGCTATGCCCACCTACATGACCTTCCATTCAGTGATCCACAAGATTAAGTACTACGGGCCTACGGCCAGCCTAATCAAACTTCCGCCCCGTTTACTGCATAGAAGAGAGAGTACGGCCAGGCGAGGCTGCCAGCTAGTCACAATTCCGTTCAGTTGCCTCCTATATACTACTACACACAAAAGAGAACAAAGGCACTAGATCATCGTTCCGTTCCATTCCGTTCCGTTCCGTTACGTTACGTTGAATTCACTCCAGACAAGAAAAAGGCAGGAGCTACATCACTGTTCCCAGTGTTCCGTTCCGTGTACTGCACGCACGAAAGGGGCAGAGCAGAAGCTCCATGACCCTTCCGTTTACTGCACCAACGGATGGAGAGGAGTGGAGTTGACTGTGTACCCCCCCCTTCTCCTCCCATTTGCCCCTAATTCCGCAACCACTGCTTCCGGGGTCAAAAATGTAAAAAGAAGGTTCCACGCACTAGCTCGACGCTTCATTTCTGGCCGTCGATGATGAGGAAAAGCAAAACAAAAAAAAAGGATCACAGCCGGAATCCAAGCCTGCGGTTTTGTGGGAGCTTCCCCCTACCCCACCCCCGGTACGACCGAGCTAAGCCAATCTGTGTGTGTGTGTGTGTGTGAGAGAGAGAGAGAGAGAGAGAGAGAGAGAGAGAGAGAGAGAGAGAGAGAGAGAGAGAGAGAGAGAGAGAGAGAGAGAGAGAGAGAGAGAGAGAGAGAGAGAGAGAGAGAGAGAGAGAGGAGATATTTTCTTCTTGTAGCTACAGAGTGGCCGGTTCTTTAAATCTTCATGACCAGCGAAGAGTTTGAGGATCAGTTTGTAGTGGTAGCTAGCCTTCGCACGTATGCGAATCTTTTTTTTTTTTTTTTTTTTTTTAAATGATGGTGGGCTAAGATAAACTGTGAGTTTCTGTGACTCCTCAAGCCCACAAGTTGAAAGTTGAGGTCCTGCAGTGGAGTCCACGTGTCTTAACAGTAGAGTGGATAAGACGGTCCCTCAGCTCCCAGGTTCGCGACCAGATACAGTCGTGCAGTAAATCGTCCTGGCTCCACTCCCAATTGCACCGCTGGCAAGCGTACGTGCAGATCCTGACAAATCCAACCAAACACACAGTCACTGTGGTGAAAGTGCAAAAAAAAAAAAAAAGAAAAGTGCGAATTCACAGACTGCTGAGTCCTGGCCTCTAGGCTCTAGTAGCTATAGCCTATAGGTTGGCCTCAAGGGACCAAGGGTCAGCTATAGGTTGGAGCCTGGAGGCTTGCTATATAGGTTGCCCCCTGCCAAGACACCTCTGAGTCTGAAAATCTTCATTTTTCTTCAAACTAGAAAAGGGGGGGGGGGGAGAAAAAAAGCAAAAAAAGGAATGGTGATCAGATGATTCGGATTGAATCAGTCGCATCCCCCACGTCGAACAGAAACCATAATATCGGCAGTTGAAAATGATGCAAGTTCATCCAACCAATAGAAAAAAAAAAATACATTTAATTTCAAATGGGGACAACCGACGCAACAGCTCTGAAACCAAAAAGGGAAAGCAAAAAAAAAAAAAAAAAAAAGTTAGCAGAAGAGGAAACATTCTTCCAAACGTGCAGCACAGGCAGAGCCACTCTGAAGAGAGAGTGTAGCGCCCAAAAGCACCGGGAGGAGGAGGAGGAGGAGTACAAGGAGGAGGGGCAGGAGGAGAGATCCCAAGTTGCCACGCAACAGCACATCGTGAGCCCACGTGTCATTGATTTTTTTTAATTTTTTTTTTTCATTGAATTTCTTACTTCCTGGTTCATACGCTAAACACATCAATACCTTTTTTTTTGGAGAAAAAAAAGAGCTACAACATTTAAATTGAGCAGCGATTCGGCTGAGGGAGTGAGGGAACAGTTACCTGACTCAGGCGGAGGATGAGCTATCCATTGGTGAGTGAGTAAGGACAAGGATTAAATGAACAGCGTCCAGAAAACGGACTATATACAGGAGGGGAGAACGAATACGGAAGCAAATGGAATGCATGAGGACATTATCATTACATTTGCCAAGTATATCGACGAAGACAAGCCCCACAGGTCGCGCGAAGAGCTGCAGCCTGCAGGATGTTAACCTGCACGCATTCGGGTTGTGGTTCAGTCACAGTAGACAGGCAGATGGTGTAGCATCTGGAGGGAGTGTGATTTTGCCTACAAGGGCTCCTACTGGATCCCGAGCCGGATTTAGGGGCTGCAATTAAGAAACGAGAGTTCAGTAGAAGTTACTTAGTTGGATCACAAATTTGGTGAGGCAGTCCTTAGTTTAGCTTTTTTTTTTTTTTTTTTTTTTTTTTTTTTTTTTTTTTTTTTTTTTTTTGGTCCTTATGTACTTTTTGCTAGATTTAGGTGGCCATGGAGTTGTTGTGCGGCAGAAGAACCCAGATTAGCTCGGCCAGGGAATGTTTTTGTGGATTGTTAGGCTTTGATGGCCTGAGGCAGCTTTTTTTTTCGTTCAGGGGCGCGTATCATCAGGACAGTGGTCTGGTTCTGGCCATTTTTTCTGTCTCTGGACTTTTCACCCTGCCGCCTACTCCCACGCTGGGTTGTTTGTTCAGGATTCCCCGCCTCTTCTTTTGCTGTGCGTAATCAAATGAGCTCAGTCTTTT